CTGCCTTAATGGGAAACATTTAGTGGACAGCAGTGGGGTAATAAAACAATGTACGGTCTGTGTGTTCAACTCCTGGGAGACTACAAACATTAGGTAGTGTATGTGCATGAAACATTCTGTAAATCACTTCCCTTTTTATATCTAACTTTTGTGCTGGAACCTAAAAGCAAAATTATTTTCTTTTAATCTTTTTTCCTTGAAAATAATGCATTTTTCTGAAGTGAACAAAGTAAGAGATTATTATAGGCTAGTTTTTTTTATTGAAGAGCAGCTCACCTATGCCCTTTGTGTGACTAGCATGCGTCTTGCTGAAGGCCCCCCTCTCTGTCTTGTGTTTTATGCTGTATTATTGCCTACAGCAAGGATAACAATGTGACCCCAGTAATTGACAGGATTGGAAAGCTGCATTAACGAGTGAAACGCAAGTTTCTAGCCGTAATACGAACCATCAGCAGTTTTCTGAGTGTCTATATTTTGCCTAAATGAATCCCATTTACATTCTACTTTTTTCACCAAAGGTCCTTAGATTGTATTCCCTCTTTCACATTTCTTTTAATATTTGCATACTGTATATTGCCTTCCAATTATATGCAATTTTGTTTTTTGATAATAGTTTGACTTCTAACCCAACAGAGTTTTTCAGCTAGTCAGTAGCTATTTTTTGTAAGTAAGATTGAGTGTCTTTTGGTTGATATCTTTTTTATTGTAAGTGAAGTGACTGAATACTAATACATTACCTGGTAACTTGAACTACCCATACACACAACGATCGCTTATTATGACAATCATTTTAGTAAAACAATTAGATCTGCTAGAAATTGAATGCACTAAATGGTTAGTTTAATCAATAAACATTCATTCTAATCATAAAGGAACAATCTCTCTACTGGAAATTCCAATTGAATTGGACCACATTGATCTTTTTTTAATGTCAAATGATCATTTTTGAGTGAAAGATCGTTTAAACAATTAAGCTTATGATCTTTCAATCATTTATAATTATGTGAATGGCTTGTATAAGAACTGAATGCGTAGCTACAGTTTTAGCAGTAGCAGTTTGCATTCATCCTATTTGACCAGATTCTGATTGGCTACATTTATACTGGGGAAAGGGGATGTTCCCAGCTTTTCTCTCAATGTGGATATGGTTACTTGTATCGCTGTATTTATTTTTTTGTGATGGACTTGACCACAATTTCTATGATGGCCTTCCTTGCATAGTAACTTAGAGACTCTGCCACTTAAAGACTACTAAAAGTTGTTGACCAATGTGATGTACAAGCACCCAGAGTTGCACATGCCTAGAGGTTGCAAAGCTAAATTTGATCAAATTTAGACCACCCACACACCCTTTTACTACTCCTTCCCTCACTGGTCTCCCACCCTGCATTATTTGCTCCGAATACTACTCTTCACTACTATTTTCTCCAGTCCTTATTTCACTCAGTCATCATTTCTGCACAAAAACTCCTAGATGCACAGTGTCACATCTCTTAACACTCTACGGTAGAACTGTTAAAATGCTTACTGTTATGATGAACATTCCCACTCGATTGTATACCAATTGTTCACGAAACTGAGTGCTGTAACTGCCTGCATGTTTTCTCTGTCCTTCAAAATGTACCTTCTGGATTTAGAGATGTACATGTGTGCAGCATCTTTCAGTATCCTCTACTTCCTCTGAATGTCCAGGCATTCTGACCCTTCTGGGTAGTGTCAGAGCTTGCAACTAAACTACAACTCCACACGTTCCCAGTGGACCATCAATATGATGGGTTGCCTTACTGGGAAATAGTAATTTATGGATGGAGGGAGGGACTGGTTAAGTTTCAGCACTGTGATGACGTGTCCAAGTTTTGCCTAGTCAGAACTCCCAGCATTCATGTGAGGCAGAAGATAGTTAAAGCAGATGTACAGTAGATATGTGCTGTTTGCTTTAGCAGATGTATTGATATGTGTATTGATGCTTTTTTAATTGCCATGTCTTTTCTATATGATTGTACATTCACTGCATTTTTTTTGTGCAACTTCTTTTTGTCACTTCCCTAATCCAAAGCTTTATAAACATTTGCAAAATGCTTACACATGCTGTTCATAGGGTTACCTATGTGTTGATACTTCATGCCTACTATAAAGTTGTGATTAGATTTTAGCCTCCAGAGCCGCTAGCAGGGTAATAAAGCAGACACATGCCTTTTGAAATCTTCATGGTCTCTCTAGGTTCTGCAAAGCTTGAGGGATTCAGTTTTGGATCCTCAGCTTTGGCACCTCCCGCTTCCTGCCATCAATAACACCAAGGAAACGAATGAATTGCAGACGGGGGCGTCCTGTATTTTATACTGTATATTTACTGCTTGAATCTGGGAGCAAAGCTTTTAACTAGGGATGCAACTATACATTTTTTTCGGTTACGAGTACCAATATTTAAATTTTAATTTTTTGTACTCGCTGATACCGAATACCTATAACGTAAGTCCCATTAAGGAAGCCGGGCGGCATGTAATGACTCGCTACCCTGCTTCCTGATTAGCCGGGAAGCCGGCTCCATGCTCCCTCTTCACTGGGCGATGAGGGAGCCAGCCTCCCGGGCAATCAGAAAGCTGGGGGGGCAAGTCATTACCTGCCGCCCAGCTTTCTGATTGCCCGGGAGGCTGGCTCCACGCTCCTGGGGACGAGGGAGCATAGAGCCAGCTTCCTGACCAATCAGGGAGCTGGATGGCGTGTAATGACTCACTGCCCATGCTTCCTGTTACCGGAAGTTCCGGTATCCAAATAAGCATCGGGAGTAATTGGGCGAGTAGTCGCCCAAATACTAGTTATTGGCACTGATGCTAGTATCCCTACTTTTAACTCGTATTAAGTTAATAATAATCAATATTAACTCATTAGCAGCATTACAGTAGGGGACAAATGGTCAAAAGAGGCTCTTCAAGAAGGTAGCAGGGAGCCATTTTCCCTGAACTGAAAAGGGAACCCTGTATCCATTGCTGCTCATGTAGGCCTCACTTGCAGATGTAGCAGTCCCTATTAAGCATGATTAACATGGACAGCATCCTAGGAATGAATCTGTTAGTGTTGATAACCAGGGTGTGCTAGTCATGCTGGTGATTCCAATGAAGAGCCAGCTGGTGTACATGGAGCTGTAGATAGTGAGATGTGGAAGGCCACAGGTATATAAACAAAAAAGGAAATTGTTCTTGCAAGTCAGATGTACTTGAGGTGCCTTGAGTGACTTTGGCAAGGGTTGTGTTTTAGAAAGAAAAACTTCAGCGACAAATTCTTTGCACAGATTTTTCTTAAGGCTAGGTTCACCACTGGTGGTCAGTTACATGAGATCACTTTTTTTTTTTAGGATGGATGGATACTGATTTTTGTTTCAAAGTGCATTCTCCTTCTTACAGTTTGTTATGCACGTTAAAGACCTAAGCAGCACAGAATGGGTCTAAAGTCAGCTTGATAAATCTAGGGGAGGTTTTTGCATATCGCTGTTTATTATTGTTCATAAAACCAGCAGACTATGAGGCAGAAAAAAATGACTTCACTTCACATCCAGGACATGAGAAGGAATAGGCTAGCTTAGCACCATGTGAGGTCTTCACAGTCAACTAAATGCATTTTATGTTCATTTTCACTGAGAGGGGCCTTTTTATAGATCACATAAATTATACACAGTTGGTTTCCTGTTTTATCTTTATCTGAGTTTATCTTTTTAAGAGTTTTTCTTTCTGTTAGTAATACTGCATTCAAAATGCAGTAAACTAAATATTTCAAAAACTAGCTAGAACTGGGTGCATTGGCCTATATGGATTAAAATATTAAATTTCAGAGGCGTATGCCTTCCAAAACTGAAATATCTGGTGGACTAAATCATTTACATCGGTTGTGGCTTTTTATTCCCTCCAGAGCTTCTGCTGAAGATCTCTGTACCTGAATGTCCCCAACACTGCACCATGCCAATGTAGGGTTTACACTGCCTACAAGAAAAATCTCACTCTGCCTACTGCGTTCTTTTTATTTGCTTTAAAATCCTACATATATTCACAGGTTCATGAACTGCCTTGGTGTTTACACTCTGAAGACACCTCTCCCCCTATACTATACATAGAACCACAAAACAATTGATGGGGTTTAAAAAGGTGTCATGACCATTGCATAGGTAAAATAAAAAAACATAATTTATTGACAAACAGATACATTGATGTAATAAAATAAATGTCCAAATGTTGTACATAGCACCAAGAATATACCCAAAAATTCATGAATAGACTTATACTACATCCCCAACAATAGTATTGATAGCAGACACTGTAATCTTTCTGGATATCTTGCGTATTCGTTGTTAATCTCAATTATGTTTTTTTATTTTACTTATGCAATGGTCATGACACCTTTTGAAACCCCATCAATTGTTTTATGGTTCTATTTAAAATCTAACAGTGTGAGCGAGTTCCTTGAGCTGGTTCTTTCACGTAGCCAACTTGTCCGTCTTTGTCGAATACCCCTTGAGTTAAAAGGAAGCTGTGGACAATCGACCTTTTGGGCGTTGATCCAGTTCTGAAATATTGTTTTTGGACCCCTTTATGTACCCATGAAGAATATAGTTTTTTCCACAATTACTTTCTTTACAAGTTTCATTTCTAAGGTCTGACTGAGAGTTCACATTGTGGAAAGATATTGTATATTTAATAGGTTGGACTTGATGGACTAATGTCTTTATTCAACCTCAAATACTATGTCAAATACTATATATTAGACTTTTCATATAAAGCATACACCCATCCATTAAATGCTGCACCATGGTTGTTTTTCATGCCGGGGCTGGTCCCCACTGTTTCGTTTTGCCACTGAAATACAGTTCTGCTTACGTCCATTGTGTATGAATTCCTATCTGCGTATCTGTTTACTGTATGTTCACAAATAACCAGAGAAAGTGTTTGCTGTCCAGAGGTTTTTTTTAAAGATAAGGAAAAAGGTCTCTAAGATTATTTATTGTCACACAGGCTCTGGGCACAATGAAGAGGACCCCAGGGAGTGCATCTATTACAACGTCAACTGGGAGACTGAGAAGACAAACCAGAGTGGTGTGGAAAGGTGTGATGGAGAGAAGGACAAGCGGCTTCATTGCTATGCATCTTGGAGGAATAATTCTGGCTTCATTGAACTTGTGAAGAAAGGCTGTTGGTTAGACGATTTCAATTGCTATGACAGGTAAGCTACAAGCAAACATGACTAAAAGCTGCTAGTAAATATTCAAAGCGCATTAACTGTCTGAGTTCCATTAAATGTACCCACACATAGAAAGTTTATGCTACATATTTTTCACAAAAGAATACTTTACTCATGGCTTATTTCAGTTTTGCACAGATGGTAGGGCAAGTAAGGTTGTTGAATTACCCACAAATTCATTATCTTCTAATCTTTCCATAACGCTTTACAGAGAATGTTAAATCATTCACATATGCCTCCCTTCAAAGAAACCAAGGGAGCTTACAGACTACAACCCATACTTCAGTCACACTTGCACTGACACACACACACACACACACACACACACACTCCCCTCTGGCTTCCACAATTCAGGCTCACTGACCCTAAACAAGTATGCAAATTGGAAAAGTCCTCATGCATATCTCTCCTCCATGTCAGAGGTTGAGTTGATTAGCAAAGCAGCCAGGGAACTAGCATTTTTGTATGGAGAATTCAACAGTGACAGCCTCCTAGGTTCCTCACGAAAGGTTTCCTTTAACCACTTTGTGCAAAATGTTGTTACTTATTAAAGCATATTTAAAATGCAACTCTGGGAGTTTCTGTAATTGCAACTCTCATATATAAACCTCAGGCAGCAACACTGTTACAACAGAATAATTTATTCAGAATCGATGTTACCCTCTTTCGAACTATGACTTCTCTTGGTAACAAAAATAGTAAAACGTTTTCTAAAATACATTTTTCAAGTGGGAAACCCTGGAGTTTCACAGCTTATTATTTTGCGAGGTTGTCCTCGCCTTTTTCATGTAATCATTTTTTTCTGCTTCTCATCGTACTATGCTGCAATGTACATGACTTGATCAATATATATCTCCGTGTGTCTGGCACCCATATACCTGACAGCCGTCCTCCAGTCCCTATCATATAAACATGACATATTCTTGTCGAATGAGGATTTTTCAGTAAAACGACATTGTCACTCTGTGCACTCGAGGACACATTCATACAGTTTATTAGACACAGCCTTAATTTATACCAGCACGTTTTCGATGTTCAACTACACATATAAAAATGAATTTAGCTGCTGTACACTGCAATCAGGCAGAGGGACAAGCTCAAATGAGCAGGAAATGTTCAAAAAAGTTTTGCATCTTGAAAGGTATTTTCATGTTTGCAGCCAACTTAGGATAACCTATGTTTTATCTTTGTTACATGTTCGTATTTTGAAAAAAATGAAAAATGGTCTGTCCTAATGAAAGGTTTAGAGATCTAGAAGCTTGACATGACATTGGTGGTTCACGGAAAAACTTCCACTTCCAATTTTTATATGCACAACACAAATCTGCACTGGAACTCCTGTCAAGGGACACAAGTAGATGTGTACACCACACTGTAATACTTTGTGCATTAATCAGCATTCCATACACAGGTGGCACTGTGCTTTTTGAAATTTACTTATTTATCATGGCCTTTTCGCATACTAATTTTGGAATGCGAGGGTCCATCTCTTTATATTAACACCTGAGCAAATTTGAAAAGCCTATCGTGCGTTATAAATAGCAATGTCAAGACCGTCTTTGTTTTTCTGTGCTCTTGTAGCACGAGTGCTGCACCTTGCGTTCCACACCTAATGTCTCCAGCAATGCTGCTTTGGTCAATGATTCTGGCCTGTGTGTTGATGGTATGGACGTGGTCCGATCTGCCTCATTCTGGCTGTTTGCGAATGTGAGAGACTAGCCTGCTTGTCCACATCATTCAGACATAGCCTGGAATTATTGATTCCAAATACCAGGCACATGCTTCAGGACCAATGTTAAGGGACACTGAAATGTCCATTTTTATCTAACAAGGCGACCCATGGCTGCTTAATACTTTTTGCATGCTTTTCATCCCAAGCAAGTTTTATAGTTATACCCTTTCATACATAATAAATACTTTCAGTGTAAAATTACACCCTATGTTTCTAAGGTCTTCCACACTTCAAAGAGTATCCAAGCCTACCTCAACAGAAGATAGTTGGTGCAGACAGTTTTGGGTCAAGTGGTCTTGTGGTCCTTTTTTAGATGCACATTACCAAAAAATAGTAATAGGAAATAGTTCTTGCTGATGAAAAGATTGTTTTGATGAATTGGTCACAATCTTGGAAAGCACAGTCGTATATGTATGTATGGATGTACTAAGGCTTGGGTTGTTATTACTGGCATGTGTAATTCATTCGATAATTTCTGTATCCGTCACCACCCAATTCTTTGCAGCAGTCTTGATACACCAATGTATCTTTCATTTTATCATTAGGCCGCAGTGTGTAGCAAAGGAGGAGAACCCGCAAGTATTTTTCTGCTGCTGTGATGGGAACTACTGCAATGAGAAGTTTACCCATTTGCCTGATGTCGGTAAGTGCCCAGCTGAAAATGTACTCTTATTAATGTAATAAGTTAGACTGTAATATTAACTCATTCAGTTGAAGCTGGTTTGTCGCTGTAGAACTTGTAAAAAAAACCTAAAGTTTTTAATTTTTGCTTCCCTTACTAGGAAAATTATTGTTTTTATTCATCAAGAGCATTGCATTTAATTTTGAAAGATCAGTCCACCCAAAAGTTATATTTCAGTTACAGGTTTAGTCTGCTGGTCAAAATCATCCACTGCCTTCTTATATTTGTGGAGACTCCTCTATCTTTTGGGCATTTCTGCTGAGCTGGGCATCCTCCCATAATATAAAACTACCAGCAAGGGGAATGGCCATAGCAGATGTACAGACCCTGAAATATTCTGAAATAGGCAACTTAACTTTTACTCAGTACAGCAAAAGCTGATAGTTTGATATGTATGCAGTAAATTCTGTTGATCTGTGCTATATTTTAGCATATTTTTGTAAATGTTGTCAACACTCTGTGGATAAGCTATTTAAGGCAGGAAAGACTGGAACCCTTAAACACCTCCTTATATAAGCCTTCTAGAACATCAAGGGCCAGTGTGGCCAAGAAGCTTGGGCTTATTTGGCCCAGCAGGTGCCACATATAACTAAATTAGCATTATTGGGTGGACTGACGCTTTAAAACACAAAGATGATTACATTGGTTATCAATTTTTAACCCCACTAGGTTCTAGCCAGTTTTAGCTGTAAGCATTTGTGAGGTAACTGTTAAGGAGAGAAGAAATAATTAGCTATTCCTTCTGGAAAGTAAACAGTGATGTATAACCTGAAATACCAATCTATGAAAAATAAATGCTTGCAGCGGTCACTTAACTGTTTAATGTAAGAAAAAATGCCCCCGTATACACTATGTATTATACACTATGTATGATAGCCGACAATATTGAAAAATATTTTGAGGGAAAATTAACTAATTTTAAAGAACTAAAGCAGTGTAAGGATTTGGCCTTATCACAAGTTTAGAATCTTGCACTGATACTCTCTAGGGAAAGACTGGCAAAACGGGCAAATTCTGCATAATTGAATTATCACTTTGTAAGTGAATAACTGTAAAGATAATAAAATTGGACAATTGTATAATAAGTGAAGGGGGAGACCCTGTCTGGCCCCGAAACGTTGGCTTTCCGATACATGTGAAGTTGTGTTTCAATAAACGAACACCAAGTTCTAAATGATGTTCTCTGAGTGCTGATACTCTCATTTAAAGACTAGGTGCACTGTGAGCTTCCCCTTATTAACATACAATGCTTCTAGATCTTGAACCCTTTGTCAGAACAAAGTGTTCAAATCTAGTTTACAACTGATGCTGAAATCTGCCAGCACAGTACAGACAGGGTTAAATATGTTAATAACCTGCCCAGCCCTCCTTGTGTTCCAGAGCAAAACTCAGTACAGAGAATAACTTTTCATTCAGAACAGAGCATGTATTGTGCAAGCAGCAATATAAAACAAATTTATTTTAGGTTATGTGAATGAGAAACCTAACAAAAATACAATAGCTGTTATTCCAATTTGGCTGCAAAAGTGGGAATGCACTTTAAAATGGTATTTAGGTTATACATTGAATTGATACTTTAGAGGTACAGTATATGGTGGTAGTGGAGGCTCGGCAAGAAAGGGACAAAGACAATTTCTATTTAATTTCTGTTGTCTATATCTCTGGATCTACTGATCTTTTTAGTATGTGTTTTTTGCTAAAGGTGACCCCCTGCCTATGCATTATTTTATCATATGTACAGCTTGAATTGCCCAGGTTAACTTAAAGGCCAAAATAGCATTCTCTTTTGCGTATGGGTGGCAGATATGGTTTAATTCACATCCTGTCTGGAAGAAAAGTTTCCTTGGTGCATTCCCTTTAAATTTCCTGAAAGAAAACAAAATTGTGAACAGATGGCACCTTGTCACTAAAGAAAAGCCATTCAATCATTAACTTTTCTATACAGAATCCAAGAGGCTTTCATTATACACGGTGCTGGGGATAGCTCCACATCAGCATTTCTCACACTGCGCCCACAGTGAAAGTGACCTTAACCAAACAAAGGGAAATCTCTCCTATTCAGAGTCCCAGTACTGCAGAACACCACGACCTTTATCTAGAAATATAGGGACAGGTTTAGCAAACTTACATTTTTAAATGTTTACCATGAAATTAATTTGGTCCAATATGTTTACCTGTTTATTAATTTTTTCTAAAAGGCTGAAGTGCGTGTTCTATGCCAGCCAAGGAATAGATCCAGAATTGTCCATTTTCTCGAAATATTAAAAGGTTAAAACATTTATAGTCTAGCTGCAGTGTAAATTATAGAAAGTTACAATGCACAAAGCCCTTCATCTTTGCTGATAAATGAACTGCCCAACAAAATCACTTTTAAAGCACATTGTTCTTTGTGAATGTACTCTATGCAAAATGCAGCGACTCTGCTATGAAACATCAAAGTTTTCTCCTGTGATTGCAATTCCCATGGGCTGTAAACAGGAAGACACCAAAAACAATAATCATGATGTGTAAAGTGCACCAATCCATTTGGAACCAATCAGAAACCATGTCTTGACGGACAACATCAAGCAAAAACAACAGCATGCGAAAACAACTAGTATCTAATGACATAGCTGTTTAGATTTTAAAGACGCATTGCAGCTATATCTATTAGATATGTAGACGCATTGCAGCTGTAGCGATGAAGCCCTGTGGGGCTTCATAAGCTGGGCCACCCCTTACTGCCCATGCTCTGTGTGCCCTGTCTGGGTGCCACTGCGCTTTCTTTTACTGCCTAGACCAGGGGTAGGCAACCTCAACACTCTAGCTGTTGTGAAACTACAAGTCCCATTATGCATTGCAAGACTCTTGACAGCCACAGGCATGACTTGCAGAGGCATGCTGGAATTTACAGTTTCACCACAGCTGGAATGCCAAGGTTGACCACCCCTGGCTTAAACCCTCACTTCTTCAGTACCCTTTTTTTTTTTAAAGATAATTTTTATTGATTTTTGCAAGTGTCAGAGACACAACAATGATAACAACAACACCATCCACAAACAACAATTGGGTCAACATAACCCAGGCATTTACACATCAGTACACTCTCTGTTTGTCACGAGGTTACACAAGTTACACAAGCTGTGGATGCAATATTCAAGGTTCAAGACATGGTGATAAAGCTCTAAGATAGGTATCGCAGAACATTGAGAAACCAACTCAGCCACATATATCAGCCGACCCAAGAGTATCACCTAGGACTCATAGGTCCAGGACTGGGGGACTCGGGGCCAAAAGTTAGTAGTACTACCCCGTTTCCAAATTTGTGTTTGAGGAGGTCAGCCATGGGTCCCATATGCGGCCAAAGCATGTCGGGTTACCTCTCTGCTCGTATGTTAGTTTATAAATGGGGAGTGCTTGATTGATCAGTCTTTTCCATTCGCCCAGGGTGGGGGCCGTCTGGCTACCCCAGACTAGGTTTTCCTGGCATAAAATAACAGGAGGCGGATGAGTGTCTGAGAACGGGAGGCCAGTGCTAGCTCCCCAAAGAGACCCAGGAGGCAGAATGAGGGGTTGCAAATGTTGGGGAAGCCGAGGTTGACCTCCATGAAGGAAGTGATTTCCGACCAAAAGGCTCTTATGACGGGGCATTCCCAGAAACAGTGCAAGAAGTCGGCCTCTTGCCCGCAGCGCTTAAAACAACGCGAAGTCGGGCGTAGGCTTCTTCAGTACCCTTATAGTGGCAACCCGTCTTCTCTGCCAGAGCCACACCTGGTATAGCAAGGACACCTAACCCCTCCTGTTCTCCCTTATCCTACTGCTCCCGCTATGGACAACCCACTCCCCCTATATGACCACCTACAATGACACATATACTGCATTGTTCACTGGATAGATGTACTTCCATTATAGTGCATTGCTGCCCCTAAGCATTGGCAAAGCAGTGATCCACATATGTCCCTGTTTAGCCATGGACGACCAAGGTCAGGGGCTGTTAGAGGAAGAGTCGCTGTACTCTGCTGATTCTCAGTAGCTCACTATCATTACATTACCTCTATCCTTGGCACACTCTGCACTATTGTACTACATGGCAGAAGTTATATAAGAAAAAAGCAAAATGGCTGAAGATCGTTGTAGATCCCAGTGATGGACAATGTTGTTTATTGAAAGATTGGTTAGCACACAAAATGGCAGCTGCCATGGTTTCTGCACTTGATAACTATAGCTCTGAAGGTCCTATACTTTCATAATATAAGCCTATAGGAATGGAATATATAAATATAATTTGCAGTGATCCAAAGAAAATGTACTGATTTAAATACTCAGTTTTCAGAAATGTCTGAAAATAAACACATTCCTTGAACTTGATTCACTGAAACATTCACTGAAACTGCTTAACAAAAATACATGGTATATCATCCTCACTATGCACAAAAACATTTCATAGTGGCCGGGACTCTGACTAGCACTGTAAAGCAAGTTTTCATTGTTCACTTAACCTTCAACAAATCTCTCTCTCTCTCCCTCTTTGAATACAGGCAATTTTGTGCCACCATGGCAAGGGTTAGTTTGGGGTTGTCGGATGATTTACTTTCCAGACTCTCCTTACCCTGGAAACTTGCATTGCATTGTTTTGTGTCTTCTATGGATGCAAGGTCCCAAGTGTTGGTCTCATGCCAGAGACTCAATGCAGACAGACATAAATCAGAAGAGCACAGATTCTTATTAAGACCCAGCACACGCATTCCCTGGGGAGCTTGTTCTGTCCAATGCAGCAGATCACTCAGTGCAAGTGCCAATGTGCTGAGCCTTGTAATCTGGACTTTGTTGAAAATATGGAGTAGATGACCTTTACCAGTAATCTAGACATTTTTGAAAATACTGAATAGGTGACCTTTAACAGGAGTTAAGTATTGCAACAAAATAAAAAACAAATTCAGATATTTGCCTAACTTTAACATGCTCTTTACACAACTGTTTCGTATCAAGTCTAAGTAAAAGTAATTTTGTGTTCCAAGCTGTTTGTTTTCTTATGCTTGCATGATATAAAATGTTTAAGTATTTTGTATTTGTTCTTCAAACCATTTTATTTGAATTAAGCCATTGCTAGATTGGTTCTAAGCAATTCTGTTGTCAGATAATTGCAGCCTTTGCCATTGTATTTTTTACCATGGAGGAACTCTTAAAATAATTTTCAGATCTTACAGAACCCCTGCTAAAAATATTTCATCTACAGCTCATGGTACAATAGCATGATCAGTTGGTTGTAATACATTAATTAAAATAGGCATAAAGATTTTGGCATATCTATAGTATTTAACACTCGGAGAAGATTATTTTTTAAACCCCCGTGCTCTATACACCTGAATAATTTTTTGTAATATCAAAAAATAAAACGAGTGATGATGAAAAAATTGTATTTTTTCTTTAAATTGATGTTCACTGAGAGAAGATCCCTCTAACATTGATTTTCAGTGGGAGGAGATCACTCTTACATTGATGGTCAGCGGGAGGAGGGCCCCTCTTACATTGATGGTCAGCGGGAGAAGATCCCTCTAACATTGATTTTCACTGGGAGAAGATCCCTCTAACATTGATGTTCAGTGGGAAAAGATCCCTCTACATTGATGGTCAGCGGGGAGAAGGGCCCCTCTTACATTGATGATCAGTGGGGAGAAGGGCCCCTCTTACATTGATGGTCAGCGAGAAAAAATGTTCTCCTTCAACCTTACAGATGGCTTAAAAGGATCCTCCACTGCTCAAAAATCCCTAGCAACCTCTGGAGGAACCTTATATCAAAAAGCACAGGCCACATTACCGCTGTCTTCCTTATTTCAATAAACCTTTGTTTCATCAGCATCCACAACCTGCCAGACACAGTAGAGGTAAAAACAGCTTGATAACTTTCACCCTTCCAGTTTTTATAATATAATATAGACCTCAGTTTAGCTGCTCCTAATAAGCGTCTGTTTGTAAAAAAGTAAAATTGTGTTTGCTTTTATGCTTCAATTGTGTTTTTAAATGCATCTTTTCTTGTCCATTTATCTTTTCAGAAACTTTTGATCCAAAGGCTCAGCAGCCAGTGTCAGTCTTGAACATTCTGGTGTATTCTCTGCTTCCCATTGCTGGTCTGTCTATAGCCATTCTGCTGGCGTTCTGGATGTATCGCCACCGGAAACCTCCCTATGGCCATGTTGATATTAATGAGGTAAGACTCACGGGAAGGTCAGAAACCCCTGTTGTGAAAATGAGAACTTAATGCTGGCAGTGGGAGTCAGCGGGGAGAAGGGCCCCTCTTACATTGATGATCAGTGGGGAGAAGGGCCCCTCTTACATTGATGGTCAGCGAGAAAAAATGTTCTCCTTCAACCTTACAGATGGCTTAAAAGGATCCTCCACTGCTCAAAAATCCCTAGCAACCTCTGGAGGAACCTTATATCAAAAAGCACAGGCCACATTACCGCTGTCTTCCTTATTTCAATAAACCTTTGTTTCATCAGCATCCACAACCTGCCAGACACAGTAGAGGTAAAAACAGCTTGATAACTTTCACCCTTCCAGTTTTTATAATATAATATAGACCTCAGTTTAGCTGCTCCTAATAAGCGTCTGTTTGTAAAAAAGTAAAATTGTGTTTGCTTTTATGCTTCAATTGTGTTTTTAAATGCATCTTTTCTTGTCCATTTATCTTTTCAGAAACTTTTGATCCAAAGGCTCAGCAGCCAGTGTCAGTCTTGAACATTCTGGTGTATTCTCTGCTTCCCATTGCTGGTCTGTCTATAGCCATTCTGCTGGCGTTCTGGATGTATCGCCACCGGAAACCTCCCTATGGCCATGTTGATATTAATGAGGTAAGACTCACGGGAAGGTCAGAAACCCCTGTTGTGAAAATGAGAACTTAATGCTGGCAGTGGGATCTACGTCTGTTTCGTGTAGTCTTGGAAGCTATGGTAAAGCACAGGTTGTTATAATATTCAATCTTTCTAATTGATCAGTTAGAAGAGAAAATAACTTGTAAGCATGATACTGTCTACTGTCTTTTTCAGTAACTAGCAGCTCATAATTTGTGAGCTCAGATTTCCAGCAATCCATAATAATCAATTTGCATATCACAGTCTAGTGTAGCTATGCCATGAAAACTAAATTCAGATTGAAAAGTATTTGCTACAGCACATTGTTGCTGTGTTTGCGGTTATTAAATTCCATAGTTTATTTATTGTCCTACAGGGATGGCATGTATCCAGCAAGGAAGAGGCAATTACCCTTACACACACTGTGCTGTCCTTGAATGTACATGTTTTCTGTTTTATCATAAGGTAAATAGAAACAAATATATAATACTAAGGGGTTCTAACTGCTTATCTATTAATAATGGTGGTAATAAGAATTACATTTTTAAAATGACACCATAAATGTTTCTTCTGAGGATGCAGGTAGACTGAGACTGCACTACCTATTTAGATTCAGGAGTAGGCAGACGATTTATAAGGGAACATGCCATCTAATGTTTCTGTTAGATGTTGGACAATTAAAGTGTGTTTAACTCAAGGACAAACGATATCAGCTTACTAGTCCTTAAATATCGTGGTTGCATTAGTTTTCTTTTTTCAGGCTTTTTTTCCCCTTTTCACCTGGTGTTCCTGGCAGTAACACACTTCCTATTCTATGTTGACAATGCTCACTCACCCTGCTGTATCAATGGAGAAGCAGTGTTGTCACCCCAGGACAGGACCTCCCCCCTTTTATTGTTCTAGTGGGTAGGGAATCTTTAGTCTATATAAGTAACTTGGAACACTGTAACTGATAACTTATCAACTGATGAGATTAAAATGGTATTGTATATTGATTATGCAACATAAGGAATAGAAACACCAAGGAGAGCTGGTGAAACTACCACACCCCAGGAGTTATCCAGCCGGTGACTCTGCCCCTTGACCCATTGAGGAAATATAACTTTTAGGTAAACTGACCATTTAACTGAATTAACCATACATGTGGCTAGCTCACAGTTAACTGCTCCAGACTTTTAGCACTGAAGGCATGCTTTCATACAATGAAGTGGACAGAAGAAGGGGTTATAAACTGAACATACATAAGCACACTGTATGTGCTGCCCTAAAAAAACTACATGTATATGCAGCAATGGCACTATTGACGCTATTTCCTGTTCGTTATGTTTGGGTGCCCGGAGTTCACCTTTAAACTACTACTTTTGATTTCTAGCTTTCTACTGTGATGAGGAGGAAATATGTGATTCTTTCTGTTAGACTGAGGCACCAAGGCTTATAGTATAAGTCAATAAAAAGAGCATTAATATGTAAATGGCAGTAACCTTAGCTGCCAATCAGGATTCACCATTACTCATTATTGATCATCAGGATTAAAGAATGATGATTGCTGATTGGGTGGCTTGAATTACGTTGCATATGTTTTATTTCTTTGTTAAAGTTCCAAAGCAAGAAAACAACATCAGCAACAAGCAAAAGAAATAGTTAATATGTGATAATCTAAAAAAAAAAGGACAATAGACAGTATTTTAGATAGTGGGATAGATGACCCTTTCATCTGTATGGTATGAGATATGTGTAGAATGAAATTGTGGTAGAAACAGTGAATGGGCCAGCTTCTATTTGCTTGCTGATTTTAACATATGCCATTCAGTCTTGGCTATACATTTATTTGCCTTAGTCCGAGTAAATTTTTTTCCGTTAAAGGCTGGGAAGAAACCTAGATTGACCAATACCTGGAGTAAAAGGGCAGGGGATTAGAAAGATCTGTCATCTAGAAGTATGTGGAAATCAATACAGTGAACCTCCAAAAAATAAAAAATCTTTTGGGTAAGCTGGATAAGGAAAGGTTATCGCTACATAGAAATCCATATTTTAAATGTTTTTTTTTGTCAGTAATTCTCTTCAGATAGGTGGCATTTTAGAGGCCCAGATCTGGCAATCCAAATCCTTTTTGGATATAGGGAGAGTAAACATAGATCTTCCAAATCTTGTACAAGCTTGGATAACAAGATAAACCTAATGAGCAATTAGGATTTTAGGACGAGACTGACAGGGTTATTCACAGGGTGAAGCGTTTGGAGAAGGCAGGAGAAGTGAACAATCTAGGACAACATAGCTGAATTGGAGAATTTTTCCAAATCGGCTATTTTGGTCTAGATCACTTCTTCTGCCTTCTCCAAACTCTTCACCCTTTTGTGAATAACCCTGTTATTCACAAAAGGTTGTTCACAAAATTCACATGTAAATATTAGAAAATAAATATCTGTAATGTAAGGCTTATTTTCAAAATGCTACATCCTCTGAGCCTCTATGCCAAATTACTTTACGTTGATTGACTTGTCATGTCACCAGGCAGCAAAACAATATTTAGCAGAGTTGCAGGTGCTCAAAGTCAGTAGTGGTGAGCAGTATTGAGTAGAGATTGAGAGGACGACGTCATACTCGGTGATGACCATCCTAATTAGACCTTTCCCTCACCAGTTTCACTCTGTCCTCTGTTCACTCTGCTGACTCCATACAGAGCACCACAGGAGGTGAGCACTGTGCTTGCCTTAGTCAGAGTATCCATTGCAGATTACACATTCTGGCCCACAAAGGTACTATTAGATTTGGTCATCATCATCATAGGTGTAAGTGCAATGGGTCAGCTCACGCTCCACTTAAGGCTCAGTGGGAGTCTGTACCATCTCTTCACAAGGCTGTAATTCTGTTAGCCCTCACCTGTGTCCCAAATCTGAGTTACTGTCCTCCTCAGAGGCCTCCCTGGCCTATTTTTAGCACACCCCATCCTCCTGCTTATTTAGAGGGGAGTTGGCCAAAATGTTTGACTTTATGGGAAACTTGTATACCTTTTTCGAGGCCTCAGACCTTTGGTGGTGTAAACGGGCATCTCATCTCCTCTGAGTCCGTGACTGCTGCTCTTCTTCCTGAGGAGGTGGAGGATGGTACCTCATCTGATTCTGAGGGTTCACTACTGGAGGAGGTCCAATCTGCGGATTTCTCCTAAACTTAAAGATGCAATTTCTATCTTTTATAGACGGAGTGCACATTTGCTTTGCTCTTCGAGCAGCTCGCATCAAACTGACCAAAAGACATCCGGCTTAGGTTCCTTAAAAATGTCTCGTCCTGCCAAAACCTTTCCTGTACACTTACTCTGACAGCCTGTTTTGTATGGTGACTGGCATCATCCTGAAAATATATTTGTCCCTCCAAAGAGTTTTCCTCCGCAATACCCTATTAGGGAGAAGTTCCTAAAGTAATGGGCAGACCCAGTCATGGACCCTGCCATTTTTTGCCTTCACAAAACCTTAATGATCCCTGCTAAGGATGTCCCTGGTTTCAAAAACCATGTGTGTCTCTCTGCTTCTGTTTGAACAATCTTGGGTCCAGGTTCTACCCAACTATTCACCTTTTTACATGAAGGTTCTAAGATTAATTGTAGCCTTCTTCAAAGCAGTACCATGTGCCTAGTTCCACTCCAGACAGACCATTACAAGTCAACATTCTGGCAGTGTGGGACACACTAACTAGGCCTGTAGATTGCCACATACGTCTTTCCTGAAAAAAAAACAGGCTTACTTTGGCATGATGGATTTCCAGTGTGCTGCTGAAATAATGGAAAGCATTTTTTTCTCTCCAAAGAATAGAAGGCATTCTTTAATTAGAGGAGAGATGATGCCACATCCTCATCCCATTCTCTCCTCCTCCAATCACAGAATGCTTTGTATTATTTGGAAAAAATACACAGCGTTTTGTGAATGGGCAACTAGTGAGGAAGAGTGGTTCTCAGTCTTGTAGCAAGAAAAGTGCTGTAAATCACAAGAACAGAGGGGACGGACCTGTGTCCTGTAACCTAATCAAAGAAAAGGATTTTATAGTTAAAGTAGTCAAAATCCTGTTTTACTGCTTGTTAAGAATATGCAAATACTTGCATGTACATGGCTTATCCACTTTAATTCTTCTGCTACAACAATAGTTTTATTCATGTCCAAACATTTGTGTAAAATGCTTTAATCTGTGTATATAGTTTATCAACAAAGCATGACAGATGTCTGCATGTAAAACAAATGTCCAGAATTGTAATATGTTATCTCTAGGTTTATTGTCCTTTTTAAAGCTCATATAATAACATTATTGATTTTCATTCATCTAGATATACGCTAATACTTTCTGTGCGCTAGTGCTAGCTTCTCTTTTTATCAGCCAAGCCTTCATCACCAGAAACTGTGAATCAATACAAGATTCTTATTTTCTTGCACCCCTTCCCATCTCCCGCCATTAAATGTAATTTAAGAGCACATTTTGTGGAAGAGCTACATGGCTGTTTTTGAGTAAATGGATCACTATTACTATGCCTTTAATTCCAAAGTGCTAATTGACTATAAAATGTTACATGCTTTATATCTGGAGCTTTATGGCCTGACTGCGGCAGGGCCTGTGTAAGTAGAAGCACTTCATCAAACAGGTCTCGCCATAACTGACATGATTTGCAGAGGGCCTTGCTGCTTCAGTAAGCTTGCCAAAACAATTAAATGAATACCCCACTTTCATGCTGTATGTGCACCATTCCAATCTGTGTTATGTTAGTTTCCATAGCAACAGGCTAGGCCAGTTAAAAATATTTTATTCAATAGAACTCCATCCTAATCAGTCACATTCCGATGTAGTCTTCATTCTTGGGAACCTTGTGTGTGCGTTGGCCTAATGAAGGCTTCGTGACTTTAACAAAAGTCACTAAGACACACTTTAAAGGTCGTTGCAGGTGATCTATTTATGCAACTTAAACTAATTAACGACTTGTGAAAATAGAGGATATTTGAAGCTTTTGCCGCTCATAAAAGATCAATGATGTGTTTGTCCATCTTTCTAGGATCCAGGGCCACCTCCGCCATCTCCATTAGTTGGGCTTAAACCCCTGCAGTTATTGGAAATCAAGGCAAGGGGCCGTTTTGGCTGTGTTTGGAAGGCAAGGCTGATGAACGAATTTGTAGCTGTGAAAATTTTTTCCATTCAGGTAAGATGGGTGTCCTCATTTTATTCTTTTTATCATTGATCGTGGTGTGTTTCTTTCTTTTTTGCAACTTCTTCATTGAATGATTTTTCAACTAATGCAAAAAAGAATAATACTTGTATTGGCAATCCAGATCTCAAAGTAAACCAACGAAAATCTGAATTGAATTATTCATACATTACCCTCACAAATGACAGGCGAGTCTGGATTTTTCTTTTTTAGAGTTTTTTTGTATATCTACTATGGAGACAGATCAGATACTTTAAAATGTCCCTACTTTTACTAGAGGCAATGATCAGCTCAAAGGCTCTCGTAAAGAAGACGTTCATTAATACGTTTTCTCACTTTTTCACCCCTTATGGACTTTTATCTATGAAGCCGGCTCCATGTTCCCTCAGGGCACTGCCGGTCAGAGGAAATCTCCCTCTGACCAGAAGTTCCGGTTTCGGAGGTAAGTATCTGAGCATTTGGGCAAGTATGAGTACTTGCCCATATACTTGGTATCGGCACCGATACCAGTATCGGTGCATGCCTACTGTTTTTGCAACATTGTCTTGATTTTTTTTTTCTGTGCAATCTAAAGAAAAAAAGATGTAACAAAATGAAACAAAGTGCTTACTTTCTAGTTTGATCAGTGTTGGTTTTAATACAAGAAGTGTCCTTAGCGATCAAAAGTGAATATTTTATTCGGTAATTTCTCCTGTGTATAATGACAATGTTGTGTCTATTACAAATAAACAGACTAGCTGCATTATTTACAAATGCAATAAAGGTGGGGGTTTTTGTTTGCTTTTTCCAATTTTGCGATTTTAATAAGCCACTAAAAAAAAAATGGAACCAGAGAAGTTACAGTGAAGCAGTAATTACATTGCTTCATTGTAACTCTTCTTGACACTACAGACACTGTTCTGCTGGTGTCAATCTACACGGAAGCATAAAGGTCTGCATCTGTAATACTAAACAATTCTCACTGTCAAAATTAGAGCTGGAAAGTTCAGGTAAATGGCTTTGGAGCTGCTGGGTTAGGAGGAGTGGCTGGGTGTACAAAACATTCCCAGAGTAATGGGTGGTGTAGCATGCCCAGTGTCCATAACTGGTGAAGGAAAAAGTGATGCTCAAGCACCATATGTTCTATTCTTTTAGCTAAACTGCAAATTAAATACACAGTTGAAATACTCGCACTCTATGTAAGCTGTCTTATCTGCCAAAAGAGTTGTAATCCTGTCCAGCGATGATTTGTATATTATACATACCTCTGCTAGATGGCATGGCCAGGGCACCCCTTTCTTAAAAGTATGGAATACAATGGGGCCATTTGCCCCCTCTCTCAACCTGCTGATTGAACAATGAAGTAGCACCAATACACTAAAAAGTCTAAACTGTGCTCACTCCGCTTTACCCGCCGCTCAAACTGTTCTCTGACAGCACATGCATCTGGATCAGTGACACTGACATCATTGGTGAAGTATTTAATGATTACCGCTAGGTCTGACAATAGATGGGCACAGAGGTGCCCATCATTCATCATTAGCCCTTTTGGTGTCCAGAATCTGTAGATTTACACTAATTTATGTTCCATCTTGGAATGAGCATCACTTACTGAAAGCTGCCCACGCAGACTAGCTTGTGGGGACCAATCACTGTGCTTCCCGATCATTTGGACATAGCGATCACATGTCTTTGTTTGTAAACTGCTGATGGTGACAGCTGCTAGTGTATTTTTCTAGCCACCAAAGAGGGTTAAAAACCAAGCTCCTTCTTGTAGACCTACTTCTCAAATGAGCATTCAGTATGCACTGGCAGAAAGCAAGACTCTGCTTCATCTGTCTGTGTCATGTGACTTATGGTAACATCCTGTCACATGACGCAGACCGCAGATTAAACCAGATCCTGCTTCCTGACACTGCATCATTTGCCTGTTGGAGAAGTAGGTCTGTGGGTCAGTGAAGGAGAGGTTTGAAATGAATTATGACAACCATGTTTAGCTCCTGTAAGCCATAGAAGTAATTATTAAACACTCTTCTACTAGCAAAGCCCACAAAGGACAAACATTGTAGCGGCTGGGAGTGGAGAGAAGAGAACCGCCATATATGGCAGCTGTGGGAGAAGGGGAGAAGTGTACATGTGGCTGCTATGGGGATATTCTGTATAATTTGTATGTATTGGAGCCTAGATGTTGGGAAGATTCCGCTAGGCCTGCAATTTTTTTTTTTAAGTTTGAAAATTTTGTTTAAAAAAAAAGCACATATGGGCAGGGACTTTTCTCTGTGTAATGTTTCTGCCTGCAACATACAACGCTGCACAAAATGTTGGCACTTTGAAATTGCAGGATAATATTCTTCCTGCATGTTTTTGTGGTATTCAAAGTTGTAAGATCAGGCATTCTGAGTTATGTAGAAAGGTGACTCTGAAAAAGAGCGGTGCTGGTGTCAAGTTGTTCCCTGAAGCTGATTGCAGTTCACATCTTGACTTCAGCTTTGCTTATTGCCTGAAGTAAGCAGAGTGCAGAGTTGCTAGCAGGTTAAGGATCGTATGAGCAGCATGGAAAGTAATGAGGGCCATTAGTTAAGTAAGAAAGCAAGGGCTCCCTCCCCCAAAAAGGAAACAAACATGAATATTACAGAAAACATGTGTTAGACAAATGGTGAGCAAACTATTGAGAACTTCACATACATTCCTGACTTAAGGACTACACATTAATGGTTTGTTTATTTTTCTAACTGGTGCTCACCATCTTAAAGTGACCCAGACACTAAATTATAAATTATTAAATTATTGAAGATAAAATTACAGAAAAAGCATGTTTACTTTCAGTGTTTCCACTTTCCATAAATTATTTTTATTTACTTGCAAAGTGTATTTAAACTTGCTAGAAAATTTGACTTCAAGTAGGTCAATTCCGTCACACAGTCCCCACCCTCCTTGTAAGTCATGGCCCTCTCCTCTTCTGGGAGTGTCTAATTACTCTCTGTGCTGTCCTAGCTCCTCTGCTTCTCCCCTCATCTCCCTACATAACCTTTTATGTAGCAGCTGGGGAAGCTACAAAAGGGAATACTATAGTGTTACTTGATTGACAGTTCTGAATTCACATCCAAGATGGTGCACTCAACAGCATTCTCAAGCCCTGATGGATGTCTATACAAGGGAGGCTTTTACATGTAAATAACATGAATAAAATATGTAAATGCACATATAATCTTATGGTAAGGTCTAGCCTTTTAAATGCATTGTCTGATGACGAGGTGTATTTAAGGTGACATGAGAGCTTTTTTGCTACTTTTCACTGATACATTTTTCAGAATTGCACACTATGCCTACCAATGAGCTTCACTAATGTAACCAAGAACGGTGTGCTGCAGTTTCATTTTTCCTGGATGGCAGCTATGAAAAGTGCTTAGTACTACATTGCAATCTATCTGCTATCCCACATTCACAAAAAAGAGGTCCCATCCATCTGCCTGCACTTAGCAATCAGCCATCAGTAAAGAAAATGGATAGTACAGTTTAGTTCTTACACTGACAAGTTTTGAACTGGCCAAGTTCTCCTTGCACCTTCCATTTGGTACTGATTTTAAAAAGTTCCATAGGAAAAGCAGCAGCTAGGAATCAGTTAGCCAAAACCTTTGTAATATAGGTACTAGACTGGGTAAACCTCAAAATAAATGATTGAAATACAACCCGCTTATGGGAGCTGTTTTTTGCCTGCCAAAACTAATTGTATTTCTGAACACCCAGTCCTGGGAATTTCGCAGCCCTGCCAGATAGCACAGCCAGCCAAGTGACCTGACTTCTCTCTACTGCAGTTGAGCAACACATCAAGGTCATGTCCCTGCCCCTAACCTTTAATTGGACAGTGATGGAACAGAAACAGATTGATGATTTCATCATGCTACTCTCTCCTGTTAGCATATTCCTTGTTGGCCTCTGTTTGGCCCCAAATGTACAAGGGATTACAATATATTACACGTAAGTGAAATTCAGATTTTTATACTAGTTGCATCTAAAATTCATTTTAATAAATAACTGCTTCATAGTTTTATTTTTAATTCCTACCTGAAGTTTAGATGCAACGTGTATTTCCAATTTTTTTCAGCCTAAATGGGATACCACCAAAAGTGCTTTTCAATTGCTTAAAAATCCTACTTAGCTTTTCACTATGTAATGTAAAGGATAGAACTGAAGGAAGTTATGTTTTCTCTAATTGACCCTGTCTGTACTGTGCTGGCAGATCCCATTATATTGCAGAAAAACGGCACACGAAGAGGATCAACTCGATGCAAACTTTATTATTAAAGACATTAAAAACGGTAAGCAAAAAAGCAAACGTGTTTCATACCTATACATGGACCTTAATCATAGCAATTAAAAGCAAGACTGACTGACCGGCAGAGACTGACAAATCTTAAATAGAACAATCATCAGTAACTCCCACGACCCAATCACAGGATGTGAAATACATGTATTTGAATGCTATAATTAAGGTCCATGTATAGGGCTTTTTAATGCCTTAAGTAATAAAGTTTGCATAGAGTGGATCCTCTTTGTGTGCCGTTTTCAACAATGCACTTCATAAGCAGGGCCGGATTTACTCCC